ATGAATAATTTGTACATGGATGCATATTCCAATAGAACGGACTAAATTTTTTGACATTTCGAGATTTTGAGAATGATTGTATCCAATGAATTGTGGTATGATACAACGATCTTGTCGATCTGTATTGATCTCAATTGGGCTCATGGATTGCTGAAAAGCAATTGTGGTACAATCTTAAAAAGGATTCTGACATTCTCTCCAGGTTTTATGTCGTAAAAGCTGTAGGATTAGAAAATCGATTAGTGTTACAAATTGACAGTATAGTAATGTTCACATGATTATGATTAAATTAGAAGAGCACATCCGATTCGAAACAAAATAATTAAATTACCGAAAGATAGCAAAGAGGCTTCCCTAATACAATTTACAACATTACGTCCTTTGTGATATTTCTTCGTATACTCTATATGATTTTTGTATAATGTTTAAGTCATCATTAATAATTCTGCATTTACTGAACTCGGGAATGTATCTATTCTGGATAATAAAGTCATTTCGTTAATATTGTATATGATACCATCAAAATATACACGTGTATGCTGCACATCTTTTTAGTTTCCTATTTTCATTTTCTTATATATTGCAAATGCTTATCATTGTATATACCTTTGTATTGTATTTAATGCAAATGGAAATGAATAAAATGAATTGAATTTAATTGAAATGGTCAGTTTCCGCTGCAATTTAGATGCAGTGAACTCTTCTTATTGGTTTGACTTGACTTGATATTACTTTCACTGATTTCAGAAATGTGAAAATGTGACGCTAATTCTCTATGCATTGTGTCATTATTGATATGGGATGGTCCTATCCACCTCACAATGGGAATCTAAATATAATGCATTTCATTTTTCAAACCTTGATCTACTCAACAAGAGGCGGCGCCTGCTGGATTTGTATAGCTTGTAACGGAGAATTTATAGAAGTAATCAATTACTATGCAGTTAGGCCTGTACTGCAAAGCTTAGATCGAAATTTGATAATAAAGATAATAGTATCGGATATACTTTTACAGCGCACGAATCCACCACGTAACGTGCTCAAGGCGCTCCAATATTTCAACGGCTCTGCGAGGCTACCTAATTCGGTGGTCACAGCATTCAAGGAATCCCTTTCCTACAGGAATCCTTTAACTGCTGGGTGGAGAGCAGCAAATGTACAGAAATGCCTTGACACACACTGTTTGAATACATCAATCTTAAACATGGGGGTCTAGACAAAACAACAGTTAAGCATTGCGCAAAAGTAGAATAATACGTCACTTAATCATGCATGGGATTCGTTATCGTTTCATGTATATTTAATTTTTGAATATATAGATTTAGATGATTCATTCTTTGTTACACATTCATGCACTAAGAATAATGACACTAGCAGTTTAATGGATCGCAAAATCACACGTACAGACATTGACAATTTCTTTCTTTCTATTATTTCTGTCCGACGTTGAAAAAGAATTAAAAGAACAAAAATCATTATATCGATCTGATTCCTTTTTATTGCATTTTGATTCCAATCATGTGATTATTTTTGGTTTGGGTCCCATTGTTTTTTCGATATACATTAATCCAAAATCGTGTTGCTAGAAACAGACAGGAAGAGAAAATTTAAGTGTTGATAACAAAAGGACGGAATATGAATAATATGACAAAATGACAGAGAGAAAGAAAGAAAAGACGGAGAGAATGCAGAGAATCCTTACAAACGTCAAAAGGCCAGATAGTGGTAATATCGGGTCAAGCTCGCTATCCATAAAGACCACTATTCATAATGACCATTATTCACAAGGACCGCTATCCATAACGCGAGACTAAATGAATAGCACCCTTTTATGAATAGCGGTCCTTATAGCGAGCAAACCATAGAAAATTTACCTCGCTATTCATAAGGACCATTATTCACAAGGACCGCTATCCACAATGCGGCACTTAATGAATAGCAGTCTTTTGTAAATAGCCGTCCTTATGAATAGCGAGCAGACCCCGTTATACCTACCCCTTTCCCCACAATGGCTGAAATCTCATCTTCAATTATTTATCAACGTTTAGCTATATTACATACAAACTGTTAATACATCCTAATGACACGTCATTGACGATGGATCCGGGATAAATTTGAACTGTAAAGGATTTAATTCTCAAATTCTTCTACCAAAATTTTGTTTAAGATGGAGTTCTGCGCCTCGGATAAATGCCAATTAACCATCAATTGCAAAATTGAACACAAGGGTTGGAATTTTATCTTTCTAGGGCAAAATTTGTTGGAATTGAAACCCCCAAAATGTCAATTTCCCCCTTGTGGGCGCTGCTTCGATACACGTACATTTTAGGTGAGGACTAGGGACGAGTAATCAATATCATCCACAGTTGTTACGTTTGAGACGAGAAAGTGTCAACGTGTTTGTGTTTATTGATTATTTGTTATGTCACCAAATATGTTGATGGACATTTCGGCACAGCGCAAGAAGAACCTTTAATCAAGTATCAAAATTGAAGTTTTCATGGCAAGATGGCAAGAAAAAGAAAATCGATGACGCAGTATTATCATTTTTAGATTCGTAGCGTTTCAGTAATTATTTGCTAGTTTTCAAAACAGTTGTTATTTAATTTGTGAAGAAAAATGTATTTTTTTTAAATAATGAAAATAGGAGGATTAACAACGACGGAACAGACTGATAGACTTCAAAACATTTCAATATATCAAGGGCATATACGGACTGAATAGTTATACATGTATGTGCGTCAAACAAATATTTTGTTTTCTATTATTTTAGCATAGATTCACTATTTCATATATGATGAATCCATCTTTAAGCCAATGTAATCTTCTTCGCACAATTTGCTTCCCTTTGATTTTTGTTATATTGGCTAGAGTGTGCTTCTTATTCATTCCCGTATGTTATTATCATAAAATGAGGAAGCCAAAAAAGATGATGTATGTCTTAATATTGAAAGCTATTCATATTGTTTACTTTAGAATAACTACTCATCCTCAAATATGAATAAATATTGCAATATGCATACATACTGACAATGCACAACACACCGCAGATGATTTTTCACCGAGAATGATGCTTGGAATAATCCAGTGGTAGGATTTTCATTTTTTCCTCCAATCTCTTCATATACCCAACGCGTTAGGTTATTTTTGGACATGTTTATGGTAGCTTCAAAATTAGGATTAATTTTCTGGATGTGTCTTTTTTATGTTAAGGTCTCGATTTGTCTTCATGTGTAAAGGCGTTTACTAGTTTATGGATGAGACATACTAGTCACACCGAAGAGATCGAAACCATGTCGACAGTAGACCAAACGAAAAAAATAAATCATTTCATCTATTTATTTTCAACATTCCAGTCAAAAACACGCAAATAAAATGTCTATATTATCAAATACAAAGACTACACAAGGAAACAAAAAGGTAATATACTAAATGGAGATAATATAGTGAACAAACATGGTAAACTAGTATTTGGATGGGGAAAAACAAAATCAAACGCTGCTTGTCAGGGGTAATTTCCCAACTAATTGTAACATCGCATAGTAAACATTTTAAACAAAAAGAGGGACGGTGGTTATTGGAATATTACCATTACTGGGCTGAGGAAAGAATTGCATATTGAACATTAAGGGTTTTTAACATTTTGTTTTTACAGATTCGGAGTGATACCAAGGTTTTTAATATCATCTGTTAATCCATTCGCGAGGTCTTGGCATCGGAACCTCACATTCTTTTGTCTGAGGGTAGTTTTAAAGAGTAAAAGAAATTTAATTTATGGGAGCTGATTTTTATGGGAGAAATCATTTGATATGTACCAATCACTATGCCTTTAAGGCAAAGGCATGTTACCGCATGATTGAAAATGAAATTTTGAAGTTATATCAAAACTAAAATTCCACAATTCGATTTAAATTCAAAAGAAAATTATATTCTTTCCATGTTGGAGCTGATTTGAAATTTCGAGTTTATTGTTTTAGTCTGTTTAAATATCATTTTGATACGAACTGATGAAAATTCCAACATTTTAAATGTAATTACAATCGGAGATTATTATTTTGATGATATAACTGCTTACTTTTACTGAAAGAATTCAACATTAAATCAAACGATATTGGATCTTTATCTGACTGCATGTTGCAAGTTTTTTTTTTTGAGCTGCTGCTGTAAAACATCAGAGAAACAACCAAAGGTTGTCAGAAACTACTCAAATCTTGTGCTCTTTCCTTTAGCTTGCTCCCAAATGGATTATTTAATTATTACTGTAAAGTTCGAAGAGAAGTCAACTTGCAAAACGACGGAAAGAATATAACATTAGTCACACCATTTGCCACCCTTTATGGACGCGGATCGCGATATTAGGAGAACTTTTTTAGGAGCATTTAAAAAAAATCAACGATATCCCGAAATTCGGGGTGATTTGTAGATACAAGATTGGCAACAATAAATCTAAATAGTTCGTAAAAAGAGACATTATGAAACCACCTAGAAATTCTTTTTTTTTTAAGGGATAAAGCCTAAACCCATGTAAGGAAGCCCTTTTTTAAAAAATAGGATTTCCTTCACAATGAGCCTCTTCGAAAAATGCTTTTAAACCCGGGGCTAATGGCCATCCGCATTTTCATTGTTTTTAGTTAAAGGAAGTTTTGAGTTGCCTCAAAATGTTGTTTTGTAATAATTAATTTTCTTACAATTCAACATCCATCAACAATTATATTTTAATCCTTCCCAATGAAGAGTATAAACCATGGCCACTTCGAGAGGAGCAAACTTTATTTGAGGATGGGGGTAAATGGACTTCCTTCACATCGAGGAGTGATCGACTATCCGCCCTTTTTGTTTGTTTTTTACTTACATGAAGTTTAATTTGCGTGAATATTTCGATTTTAATCAATTATTGCCTTAAAATTCAACATCCTTCATCTATTATGTTTTAACCCCTCCTCATCAGAATATACGCAATGGGGTCTACGAGAAGAGCAAAGGTAAATACAGTCACTTACCTCAAATCGAGGATGCGGTTCCTTCTTCTAGCTTTTGCCGAAGGTGAATGAAAAAAAGCCGTTGCCACCTATCCTTGTGCATAAAAACCGAAATAAAAACCTTGCAAACGGACAGAGCCTTGTCCCTTATAAAGCGTTGCTGTCGCCGAACAGTCCAAAAAAGAAAGTTCAAAACCGCTCCACTCTTATTTCAATCTCATCCAGCCTATCTGAAAAAACTGTCTGTGCTTTCTGTTCGAGCTGAGCTCTAACTGTTATGCGCACGGCACTAGTGTGTCGCTGTGCGTTGGTAAAATGCCGTAATATAATATGCAAAATAAAAATGATGAGCGCGTATTATCGTGTCCGCGCGATCTACGTATATCATATCTTTCCGAATTTCTGAGTACCTTGGAGCGGAGGTGGACGGGAGAATATTCTGAGAAGCACAAATCACAACGAAGTCCGTTAAAAAATAAATTGATTATCTCACCTGATGATATTTTTCGATGAGGAGCTTTAATGGTATTAAACTTCCCCCTAATTTTCATCTGTGCTTAAACGAGTTCAATCTTGTTGTATTTGTGCTTTGGAAAACGTTAATGGAAATCATCTTGCAAACCTACCTTTTCCATTTTTCCATCAAGAGAATTTGCGACATGTCTGATAATTTGTTTTTCCTTTTGGCGAAAGATTAGGCGGGCGAAGGTGTAAGCGTGTCTATACAAAAACCCATACTTTCAAGCAATAATTTCCAAGCGGTTCTAATGACAGTGATTTCCAATTAAGTTTTGAGATTATTTCTTAATTTTGGGGGGTACATTACCCTGATCCAAATCTTTTGCATGATAAACAATTTAGATTTTTATATTAAATGCATTTCTATGACCAAAACCCTGAGAAGCAAGGGTTGTAGAGATCAAGAGAGGAATAATATACATTCCTTTATAAAATGAAATCGTTGACCAACTCCCCCCCCCCCCCCAACAAAAAAAAACACCAAAAAAAACTCGCATTCACCAAACGAACAAATGCAACATTCCTTTTCATATTCTTCACGACAGTGAGTTTATTTCCGAATTCCCTTTTTTTAATCATACAAGAAATGTGTTTAAACGATATTTTAGTACTTTCCTATCCCTCGAAGATAAAGAATAGCAGAGATTAAGACGAGGTTTCATAATTTGCAGTTACATCATTATGAAGATGTTGAAAAAAAGATGAAATTTTCAGACTGAAAAGATGGTATATAAATTGATAGAGATACCAAAGACAGTTATGTTTTTATTGATTTTATTCAGTTTGATTAAACTCGTTTATGCTTGTCTGTATGATTCCACAATATCCCAGAGCATTTCGAAACACAATGTTGGATAAGCAGAACCTGTTTCAATCCATCAATTTCTACCCCCCCCCCCCAAAAAAAAAGTCTTATCTTTAAATTTGAAAATGAAATAAACGGTGTTTGTTTATCTTTATATCCATCTTTATATGATATTCATACATGTAATGTTGATTACACCCAAACAGTGAATTGGGAAGACGTGTGGGTGAAATACAGTACACACTAAGAAATAAAGGTACAATTTTGCTACAATAGCAGCACCCTTTGTGAAATACGCGTGGATGGAAATCTGCACACCACTTGCACCCTTATTTCTTGATGTGTATGAATCACTTTCCCCTCTCTATGGCCATGTCGATCTGAAACACCAGAAAGTAAAACGAACAGAAAAAAGTATCAAGAAATATAATTGAGTTTATTAGGTGTATATGTTACTTTGATCCTGCAAACAAAATAAACATCTGTCTAATTTTGACCAGTTCCTCTTGTTTTAAATGATAGACTTTACACCTTTTTCATCTTATTAGAATACTAAGTACCCAAATTTATATTTCCGTGTGTTTTTATGATATTGTGTAGTTTACTGATCAGTTTGCGTTAAAAGAAGCGAATCTTCTTCACCTTGAATGTGATATATGCGAATATTTAAGAAAACGGGTAACCTGAAAGTAATGCCCGTTTCGCTCGTTTCCAGATCCTTAAAGTTCCAGATATTATCATTTTAAAGATTAATTCCAAACGCTATTTCTATATATGACGATATTTTGTATAATGTGTATCCAATTTCATGCTATGCACTTGCTCATATGATTATAGACCTAGGATATTCACATTGTTTTCCGTTAGAAATACAAAACCAACATATTGGCGTTCCTTAAATTTGTTTTTGATTGGATCTAAAGGGCAACCAATATATTCCTACAAACTTTCCTTTTTGTAGATCCATATTCTAAACATGAATTCCTTTCTATATGCATAATGGATATATGAATATGATATGTTTGTATCAGAGAAATTTCAGGGAAAACGCAATCATGCAAGCAGAATGCGCTATGGTTTATTAAACATTTTCATGAAGAAAAACGGCGGTTAAATTTAGCCACAATCGCTTAGACCCATTGTGTCTCGTATCATCTTTGTGTTTTATGACGACGTAATGCATTTCTTTCTTGATTCAACACCTGGCCATGCTGGTCAAAATGCATTTCCCAAATATTATATTTCACAGAAACATACATTTTTTCCCCAAAAAAAGTTGTTGTCTTAATAGAATTTTCCTCATTTTCCTTCAATATTTGTTTTTTGCATTGTCATACCGGGTTTTCTTCACTTAAAGTATTGTTTACTGTTGTTCTCGATTTTCCTCGATGCTTTTTATCTTGCCTCAATTACACATACTTTACTGAAGAATAATTGGGTATAAAACAGTTTTAAATGTTCGTTAAACGTTCGTTTCTACCATTACTTATTGTATTTAGACATTAAAGGATGTGTTATATATGAAGAATAGAAACAAATTGTTTCCAATCGGTCTAGCTCGTCGGGATTTGATGAAAGCTTCTTTCAGGAAACATTTCGAACCCTCAATTTCTATCATATTTTCATTCGATGCCTTTATACTTACAAATTATTTGCAAACCAACTATGCATCAATTAATTTACTACCATTACTGTCAATTTTGTCTTTCTGGATTATGATTTTGAAACAATGGTATTAGCTTTGTGAGATTCTAAAAAAAAGGAATATAGCCTAAATTTAGGCCAACATAAGGATCTTGTGTCCGCCAAACTTGGATTAATCAAACGACCATCTCGGGTACTGTTTTCCAATCAGATCACCTTTTTGAGCGAATCATTTTTCGCAAAGTTTGCCGGACACATAATTACCGTCATGTTGGCAAACGTTTTTTACCTGGTATATTTTGAGTCTCTGTTCTTTATCTTGATATCAATTTGCCTCGTAATTTGATAGTTTTGTTCTTCTTTTTTCAATTGCCATGTTCGATGTACGGGTAATGTTCTTTTTCAACCTCTCCGTAAACAATAACTGTCTTCGCGATTGGAGGCTTTCGCTAACGCAATGTTATAGCCAGAATGAAAAAGGCTGTTGATGTTTACTTTCATCAAAAGAATCCGCTTATGGGATATTTAGCACCTTTAGAAGAATGAAGCCTCCCATCGTGAATACTACAGAGTCTTTTTGTAACCTTCGAGAATAATAAAATGGACGTAATAAGACAATAACGCAAGAGAAAATCTATTTGAGAACAACTACTATTACCGTAGTTAAGAGCATGGAAATAATAACCAACAACACAATACGTTTTGCGCTCCCTTCTCTCTATCTCAATATCTTCTTCCCCTCCCTCTCTTTCCCTCCCCTCCCTCACTCTCATCCATTTACGACCTTACCATCTCTCGCTCTCCACCTCTTTCTATCCCCTACTATTTATCTTCCTCCCCGCTAGCTCCAATCCCCAGGGTCCTACGCCCCTTCACTGTCTCCTTGCTCCCCAGCAATACGAACATGGTAAGAGTAAAGAAAGAGAAAGATCGCGAACGCGGCGATAATGTAACAACGAGGAGTATAATAATATGTATCTAATGGCAGGGTGGGGAGGTGTCGGATGCGATAAGGAGCGAGAAAGTGTATGATAATATGTATCCAATACGGGGGAGGTGTTAGTAAAATGGACGACCTGTAGAGGAAAACGGATCACATTCAGACCGAAATGATCCCCGAGCGATCATTAAATCTTCTTATAGTGTAACTTAAGAATTACAACGTTGTTGGCTACCTGCGTCTAATTACACGCTTTGTCTTTGGGGTCCCAAAACGCCTACAATCCGACAACCATTACTACTTGTAAAACAGTTTTTCTTCCCCTGTACAGATTTCACGATTTTCAACAATAACAAATCACTCAAACTATGTTTCCTTTCCAGTTGAAAAGAAAACTGAGGTGATAAAAATCATTTCGGTGTAATAAGTAGGCGTGATGAATCTAATTGGGTATTTAAGAACATTGTTTTTAACAACCTTTGTCAAAGAAATTAAAATTCTCATCTTGATACAAGAGAGCACTCCTTTTGCAGTTTGCAACAACAACAAAAACAAAACATTCAATTAAAATGGGCATGTATCCTTATCAAGGGATAAGGAAAGCGCCTAAAATGTTCTCTTGGTTTAGGTATAAGGTGCACTACGGAATTGTTTAACTACCAGTTATTCATTTACATCAACTGGATCGAGAGTGGCAAAAGTAAATAACATTTCTTGCCAAAGGACATTAATACCGCTGCTGGAGCTCGAACTGAGAAACCCTTTCAGATCACAGTTCGGTGATCATAATTACCTACTGAACATCAATATACACTGAACATGATTTGTGTGAAGTCAACTTATTTGTTGCACGTCCCAATCTAACTTGGAGTCACCTCCGACAATACATTCATGCATTTAGACGATCATAACATACATAATTAAACCATTAAAATACAATTGACGAACTCTTTACGATGATGATAATGAATACTGTAACATTAAATTAAAAAAACATAAAATAGAATATAATAAACAAATAAAAGCCTAATGAATTACTGCAAATAGTCTTATAAATAATGATTATGGAATAATCTGTTTGATAACTGTAAAAAATATAGAATAAAGTATCTCCATTAAGTTTTCCTTCGTATATGTTCACATTGCGACAGACCCTGGTATTCCGGAGTCCTTTTTTTCTCGCTCATCGAGCATAATATTCTGCGAGGAGTGTATTACAATCCTTAAACCGATCTAGCGTCGGGGTTCGGACTCCCCGTCATCCCTCAATGTCCGATGTTTTCCGAGACTCTGAAGTGGCGAGGGACCAAAGGTGCGAAGACGTCATGCGCATTATCAAACCTTCTCTATTT